AGTGCCTGTGCCCCCCCAGGGCCCACCACACCCCCCTGCTGGCGGCCAAGCACCTGCGACCACAGGTCCCCCGGAGAGTGGGAGGGGCTGCGCTCTCTGCAGCCCAGGGAGCAGCCCAGCAGGAGACCTTCCTGCCACTGCATGCCCAGGGCTGCCCAGGCTGGCCAGCTCCCTTGTCCTCTGCCCTGGCCCCCTGGCGGAGGGGCGCACCCACTCCCTTCTCCCTCGCGCGGGGAGCGAGGCCCCACCAGCACCCCCTCCCGAGCTGGCTTGGCTCGCGGAGCGCAGGGCCCATCAGGGTGGAGGCGGAATGTGTCAGCTGTTATTCAGGCTCTGGTGTGTGCTCAGATGCTCCCCCACCGCGGCTCCCCAAATCCACCCACCACCCCGTTACCCACTGCTCGAGGCCTTCGCCCGAGGGAGCCAGAGCCGCAGCCCGGAGCCCTGGACCGTGCCGCGGGGGGTGGGTGGGGGGTGGGCGCACTGACTCACTGGACCCCTCCCCGGTGGCAAAGGGGGCAGCCCCCACACCCAGGGGCGCCGGCACCCTGCAGAGCCTGGACGCGGGCCGGCGGGCTCACCTCACCCCTCCGCGGGCAGGACACGCTCCGGGCGCGGGGACCCTCTGGCCCCGGGGCCCCGCAGGGGCGGAACGGGCGGCCAAGGCCCGGCCGGGGCGCGCTCGCTCCCGCGGGGGGCCGACGCGCGCGGTGCCCCTCGCGCGCCCCCGCGCTCCGCCGTATTTCCTCCTGCACCTTTAAGAAGACCGCTGCTCGGAGTGGGATGGTGTGTTCAAGCCACACAGAGGAAGTTACGCAGCCCGGATCAGACCGAGAGATAAAAGCCCCGATGGTGCTCGCCGGGGATGGCAAGAGGATTTAGCCGCGGCTTTAACTCGCCGCCGAGCGCTCGCGGGCCCTGAAGCGCCCGGAGCCATCTGGCCCGCGCCGCGCCCCGGGGGGATGCCCGGGCGCCCCGACGAGCAGCCGCGAAGCCCACCCGGGCCGGGGGCTGGTCCTCGCCGCGCCGCCCAGGGGGCCCCAAAAGTTTGCACTTGTTAGCGGCGACCTCCGGCTCGGCCGGGCGGGCGATGCGGGCGGCGCGCGCGGCCCCTGTCCCCGGCCCGCGTCCCAGGGACGGCTGCGCGCGGGGTCCCCGGCGGCCGCTGGGCGCCCGGGCCGCGCTCTGAGCCCGCGGCGGGAGCGGCCGGGCCGCAGCCCGCGGGCCTCGCCTGCGCCCCGCGCCCCGGAGAGCGCCCCGGGAGGCGCCCCGGGAAGCGCCGCAGCCTCGCCCGGCCCGAGCCCGGCCGCGCCGGCCGCGGATGCCAAAGTTCCTGGGCGGCGGCGGCGGCTGGCAGCGAGGCCCGGGCGGCCGCCGGCAGGGGCGCTCGGGCTGCCGCAGCCCCGGGGACCCGCGGGGCTCCCCGCCCGCTCCCCGCGCCCGGCCCCGCGCCCCGTCCTGCGCGCGCGCGCCTGGAGGCCGAAGCGGACCCTCGGCCTGGCTCCCGCCGGCCCCCCGCGCGCGCCCCGGCGCCCCGCGGCCCCTGCCCGTGTCCCCACCCGGTAAGTGGAGCCGCTCGGGACGCGCCGCGCCCGCCGCGCTGCAAACTTCTCGCGGCGCGGGGCAGGGGTGGGTGGCGGCGTGCCGGGGGAGGGGGCGCGCCACGGGCCGGGGGGCTCCGCGCGGCTCGGGACCCGGGGGGCGCGGCGCGCAGGCGGGGAGCGCGCGGCCGGGGGCCGGGGCGCCCGAATAAGTTGCGGGGCGCGGCGGCCGCGGGGTCCCGCCGGCCACGGCACGGGGGGCGGCGGTGGGGACGAGGCAACTAGTTCCCGGGCGCTCGGCTCGCTCCTCTCCGGGCGCCGCCGCCGGCCCGGCCCGGACAGCCCCGGGGCCCTGCGGAACCGGCTGTGCCCGCGCCGAGCCCGCCCGACCCCCGCCTCTCCGCCCGGCGCCCCGCGCCCCGAATCCAACTTTTCGGGGCTCCCCGTCCGGCCGCGGAGAAGGCGATTGGGGAGCCGCGCGCCGGGCGCGGGAGAAGCTTCCGAACGGGGAGCGCCGGACGGGTGTCGGGGGGCGCGGGAAGGTGACCCCGGCCGGCCGGGGGCCGCCGCGCCCCCTCCTGCCCTCCTCCCCGCGCCCCTCACCCCGCAGGCAGATCCCGCTCCCGGGGCGCCCGGGCGGGGAAGGCGCCGCGGTGGGCGCGGGGCGAGGGGGCCCGCCCGGGAGAAGCCCCCCGACTCCGGCCGCCTCCGCCCGAGGTCCCCGCACCCCTCCGCGCCAAGTTTCCCAGGACTCTGGGGCGCAGCGGCGACTCGGGAGCTGCAGCCGCCGGCCCAGCGGGCTCTGAGAGGCGCTAATTCAATAAGGCAGAGAAACCCGAGTTCAGAAATCCTGGCAAAATCTAATTTTCGGGTTTAATACCCTGGCCATCAGCACCCCCACATACACCCCGGTTCCCGAGGACTGTTAAAAGAAAATAAAGCGCATTGATTCTATCTGTTTCTGAGAGCCGCAGTTTCTTAATAATATCAGGTGAAGATTTATATTCCAAGGAGAGAGCGATCCGCGGGGATCCAGCGCTCACTCGGCACCCCCCTGCTGTCTCCCTGGTCCCGGTTCCCTCTGTTATTCCCAGGCTCTGGTGCCTACACCCCCACCCCCACACCCTGTTTTTTTTTTTCCTTTTTGGCAAAAGCCCTAGTACTGTTGGAGAGCTAGAATCACAATCCCCCCTTGCCATGCCAGCAACGCCCAATTGATTGACTAGTTGTAAACACATTTATTCCCCCAGCAGATTTCACTGTTGTTGGCTACACCCCCCCCCCCCATTTTTTCCAGGGAATCCTGGCTTTTAAGGCAATGGAACCGCTAAGCAATGAATAGATTTGCGATTCGATCCAGCTCAGCCCAGCCTGGCCTGCCCGCCTCTCTGCCTGCCCCCAGGGCAAGCCTGGAGCGGGACTGGCTACCGGCAGCTGGGCCCTGGGTGGCGCCCCTGTGGCACCCGCGTCGGGAGCTCCCTACCTGTTAGGGAACAGTTGGGAGTCCGCGGCTGGGAGAATTAATTAGGAACGTGCTGTTTTCTGGGCTGCACGAAGAAAGCTCGGGGAGAGGCATCCAAACCTTTGCTGGCCGCTATTTTATTTTTACTACATTTTCTCAGATTGTAAAAATAGTCTCCAGGCGGCTCTTTCTGGGAGTTTTCTAGCAAGGAGCGCGTGTTCAAGGCTGGGCAGACGTTAAAACAGGCTTCACTCGCAGCCCGGCTGGGAAGGGGGATGTGGGGGGTTTCTCATCCGTCTCCATCAGGGCTCCTTCAGCCAGGAGAGGACCAGGGGCTGCAGCCTTAATGCAGATGAATGATCCCCCTGGCCAGGGCGGGGGGCTTCTCCCAGGAGACAGAGGCGCTGGACACCCAGCCCCCTTCCACAACCGCTCACCCCTCGGGCTTGTAGCGGGAGCAAGTTTCTGTCTGGGTGAAGAATGCAGTTTGGTGGAAATGTCGTCAGCTCTTTGGGGACCCTCCAGTCTGCGAGGGATGAGAGATGGGGGGTCAGCAGAGGTGAGCAGGCCCCCTCCTAGGGAAGACTCGCAGCCCAGGGGCTCCTGCCTGACCCGAGAGTTTTGGCCAGACTGAGGTGCTGGTAATGGATGAAGCGTGTGGTAAATGGCCACGCTGCCACGCTTTCCCCACAGCGACGGTCCTCTCGGTGCTCTGGCCGTGAAACGCCGGCTGGTTTCCTTAACCCAGGGATAGGAGGGTCACAATAGTGACCCAAACCCCAGAGAAGCGGGGCGCCTGGCTCGGAGCAGCATCGAATGAGCTGGCCATCGGCAGTTCCTTCTGCAGTAGCCCCGGCTTCTCCCAGACCGAGGTGGAATTCACGGAGCGCTTGGGGCAGCTGCCGTCCCACAGACCCCTCCAGTGTTTATCCACCCGTGCGCGCCCACCGCAGCGTGTCCCTGCGTGCTAACGACTTTGACATTTTGACTTGTTTCCGGTGGTCTCTGAAAGCCAACCACTCGGTCTTGACTCTTGGGCATGTGCTTGGAGGCCACTGACCCCCCCTCCCCCAGGCCACATCTGCGGACCTCACCCCCCCCCCCCCAGGAGTGGACGCAGCCCCGTCCTAGCCTCCGTGCCCATCTCCGAATGTGCAGCTCCAGTATTTATAAAAACCATCCCGTTTCCTTGGGAGACTTGAACAATAATGCAACCTGGGTGTTTTGCCCATCCCGCTACGAGCTTTTGTTCCTCGCCGGCCTCATCCCGTCCCTCTGTTTAATTTGTTGCAGGTGTTCCTGCTAATGAGCCATCTCTCTCCTCCCAGCTTCCGTGAGACAGGCCGGACCCCGGTGCCCGGAGGGTGTAGGCGGCGGGAGCTTCGCCCTAAGTTGCTGATGGCTTCCCCCCAAGGTCAGCCCAGCCCCATCCGTGCCTGCGCTCGCCCCTACCCCCCACCCAGGCAGTGGCGAGTAAGCCCCCCCAGCTCACACCTCGGGAGCTCCTCCGTGCCTCTGGCCAGCCTGGCAGCCGTCGTCACCTTAGACCCCTGTGAAAGAGGAATCTCTGTTGGCGCGGGGTGCTGAGGCCGGCCCCTCCGAAGACCGCGTGGGCAGCCCCCGGGCCCCCTCCTGATTCCATTCTGTCTTTGCCCTGCAGGCCACCGGGCACTGCCGCGTCTGTGCTGAGCACGCCGCACGCTAAGGCCCTTGCAGCACCCGGACTGCTTGGAAGGACAAAACTTAAAAGCCATCGGATCCGGCCTCTGGCCAGGTCCCCGTGGAGTCCCTCCCTATCCCATTTCCATCCACTGTCACAATTTGAGAACCGGCCCGATCGGATCTGCAGCACCTCGAGGGGGCGGCGCCATGGCAAGGTTAGGAGGACACAGCGTGGGGGGCGCCGCAGGGGTGTGCCCGTCCGCTGCCTGAGGAAGGCCGACGCTGAGGTCCGCGCCTGCCCGCTGGAGAGAGTGACGTCCTGCCTGTCGGCGACCCCTGGCCTCTGTGTCGCCGGTCCATGCTGGGGCCGCCAGCGCCCCCCGCCCCAGCTGCTGCCGCCCCACCCCGGGGCCCGTGCGGGCGCCACCATGGCGCCCCTCCTCGCCCTCCTCCTGCATTGGCTGCCGCTGGCCGCCGCCGACTATGACATCTGCAAGTCCTGGGTGACCACGGACGAGGGCCCCACGTGGGAGTTCTACGCCTGCCAGCCCAAGGTGATGCGCCTGAAGGATTACGTCAAGGTGAAGGTGGAACCTTCGGGCATCACCTGTGGGGACCCTCCAGAGAGGTTCTGCTCCCACGTAAGTCTGGCCCCGCTGCCCGGGGAGGGCTGTCTGCTGGGGGAAGCTGGAAATGTGCCGACACCCGGACCATGCACCCTGACACCCAGTACCCTGGGTGGGTGTAGGCAGCGGAGGTGCCACCCCCAGGGGCCCCCGGCCGTGCAGGCTGGCACGTGTGCCCGCCTGCCCCCGGACTGAGGGGGCCTCCCCTCCCTGCCAGGCCCTCCTCTCGCTCCGCCCTCCCCACTCTCCCTGCCCCTCCGGGCATGCCCAGTGCCATGTGGCCACGTGGTCGCCTTCTGGCACAGGTTCGAGGGCTGCGGAACATTTGCACTGGGGTGGGGGGTGGGGTGGGGACAGGAGGTCCTGCCCGGTGCTGTGGTCACTGGCAGGTGGGGCAGGGGCAGGTGTTGTCACTCGAGCCCACAGGCTGAGTCCTCAGGCCTCTGTCCCCTGCTCTCTGCCGGGAGGGCTCCTGGGCCTGGTGCTCCTTGGCAGGAGTGTAAGAGCTCGGGGTGTGCCCCCGTGTCTTGGCCGGGTTGGGGGGTATGAAGCAGCAGCGTGGGCACAGGCGCACTGAGCGGGGCCTGGCCGTCCCCTCCCGAGGCTCAGAGTGGCGGCCTGCCCGCCTTGGTCACTTGGTCACAGAAACCGAGGCCCAAACTGCACCCGGAAGTGATGAAGCTGGGTGGGGTGTCCAGCTAAGCTGTCCCCCGAAGTGCGGCTCAGGCAGGGTTCTGGGGTTTCCCAGCAGCAGGAGGCTGCAGGGGGCTCAAGGGCTAAGGGGTGCACTGCACGGGGTGCCCGCAGGGACACAGCACTCGGGGGCTGCACTGCGGTGGCGGCGGAGGCTGGCAGGAAGGGCAGGAGGCGGCCAGGGCCCCGGGCATCACAGGCGGGGCACAGACCCTACAGGTCAGGGGGTCCGGCCGGGCGCACTTGCCTCCACTGTCAGCCCTCGGCTCTCTGTGACTGTGCCGGAGAACCACGGGGGCGGGGGGGTCACCCCTGCCCAGCTGAGGCTGGCTCAGCCTGAGGGGGTTGGGCAGGGGGACGGGGCTGGGTTCTGGGGGAGCTGCTGGTCCCCTTTGTCCTGGGTAAACGGGACACCCCCAGAGGTGGGGCTCCGTGACCTCACAGCTGTCCAAGAGGCTTAACCTCCCCTCAAGAGCCTGCGGCAGCTCTGCCCGGTACAAAGACGGGGGAGGGGCAGCCCTTCAGAGGGGAGGGGGACTTCACACCCGGATGGACTCAGACCCCAGGCCTGCAGCTCCGCGGGGGCAGGGCTTGTGCCTGGTTCCATCTGTCACCTCTGGGCGTGCCCCGGGGGCACGGTTCTAATCCCCCTTAGGGATTAGAAGGGACTCACCTCGGTCTGGCCAAGGGCACCCGGTCTAGGTGAGGCCGGACTCTTGGCTGTGACCAGTGTCGGTGTGTCCACCCCGGGGGCTGCCCTCCTGGCTTGCGTTTCTCCTGCTCTGAGTGAGCCGGGGGGCTAGAGGGGGACCGCGGTGCGCATGTGCGTTCAGCCGACAGTTCTGTCCTAGGCTTGTTGTTGCGCCCCCAGTGGGGCCCCTGGACCACCCTCCTGGCGGCCTGAGCCGGAGGACGCCGGACCCCGCCTTCGTAGTTCCCAGGAGGACCTCGAGGGAGCGTCAAGTGGTCCAGCCCAGGCACGAAGTTTGACTGGCCACCAGGGGGCGCCCTCGTGGCAGCCCAAGGCGCTCCCCGCCCCCCCCCCCCCCCACCCCCAAACTGCCTGCTCAGCTTTGCAGACCTGGTGGGTCACTGTCCGCAGCCCTGCTTCCATAGCCAAGAGTTCTCTGACCAAGGGGACCCCACGGCACCCTTGAGCGTGCAAGAGGGGCCACGAGGCAGCCGTTTTGTTTTGTTTTGTTTAATTTGGGGTGCAGCCCCTCTGCGTCCTTCTGCAAGGCCACCTGAAAGCTGAATTGTAAATTCTAGCCAGTGAGGAAGGAGAGGGAGAAGGAAGACCAAGATAAATGAATAAATAAAAACCTACTGGCTCTAAATGCACAATGAGAATTAATCGGATGAGCCTCGGCGGGGGATTCTTGAGCAAGGGCAACATTTCAGCAAGGCTGTGGGGGAAGGTGGGGTCCGCCCACCCAGCCCGCCTGTTGCCCCCAGCGAGAGGAAGACCTCTCTGCACGCCCCGAGGCAAAATTCTGCCCTTGAACCTCAGGCCCCCCTCGAGGAAGACTGTTTCAGGCATGAGACGAGGGTACCCGAGGCCTGCCGAGAGCCCAGCCCGCCCACCCAAGAGAGAGTGAGACATGCAGAACCCCGGGCCCCACCTAGACCTGCAGAGCTGGAACTTAAACACAGAAGCCTGGTGCTTGGTAGCTCCCGGTGGGCTCAGCACTAACCCAACTGAGGCTCTGGAGCGATAGTCCAGCGGGGAGGGCGTTTGCCTTGCACGCGGCTGACCCGTTTTCCATCCCTGGCATCCCATAGGGTCCCCTGAGCACCACCAGGAGTGACCCCTGAGCATCGCCGGGTGTGACCAGGAACGGGCCTGGTTCTGTGATCTCTGCAGTTCAGGGCGTGTGGCTGCTGGGGGGGCGGGGGAACAAAGCATGCCTGTGTGTGTGCGTGCATGCGTGCATGTCCTGAGGGTGGGGACACAGCTGAGATCCCCGCCTGTCGAGTCCACCGTGGAAGGTTCCAGAAAGAGGAGGGGTGACAGCCCAGGCAAGAACCACTGATGCTGGAAGACCTGAGTCGCGTCTCTGCCTTGCCACCTGCAGGCTGAGCCTCTGGGTCAGCCTCAGTTTCCCCAGCTGTAATGGTGTGGCTGCCTCGCCCACTCCGCCAGCTTCCCGGGAGAAAAAGATGACACAGAATCCAAAGTCCCCGACAGCGTAGGCTGGTGCCTGGGCGCCGGCGAGGGTCCGGGCTCCGTGTCCTTGGTGTCTCCATAAGGAATATGAAACTTACTCTCTGCAGACACTTTGGCACCCAGAGGGGCCTTGGTCCTGCCGGACAGGAAGCAGGAGTTGGGGGGCTGTGAGGTGGGCCTCTGAGTCTTTGCACAGAGCCTGCCTTGTGCCTTAGTCGTCTGAGTAGGGCAAATGGCCACAACCTGATTTTATTTTTATTTATTTAGCTTTTTGGGTCACACCTGGCGATGCTCAGCGGTCTGTTCTTGGCTCTGCACTCAGGAATCACTCCTGGTGGTGCTCAGGGGACCCCATGGGATGCTGGGGATTGAACCCGGGCTGGCTGCATGCAAGGCAAACGCCCTCCCCGCTAAACTACCAATCCAGCCTAGATGGCCAGTCTGTCCACAAGGTGCTCCTGGGTGCCTGGATGCAGACAGCAGGTGAGCCCAGGGGTACCCCAGCCCCTCACTTTGGCATTGCACATCATGCACAGTCAAGGTCACGGAAGTCAAGGTTCTGACATCCAGAGTCACATGTGGCACCAAGGTCACAGGCACCCTTCTGCCTTAGCTCTGTCCTTGAGACGTTTCCCTTCTCAGACCAGGCTCCCGAGCCCCTGGCCCGCCCAAACCCCAGGCCCAGAGCCTGGGGGGCGCAGACAGGGCTCAAGTTCATGGCACTCCAGTGGAAAATGGGACTTTGCCTCCGAGCCTCAGTTTTCTCGGCCGAAACTGGGGGTGGGTCTGCCCAGAAGGTGGGGGGAATCGAAAAGGACAGGGCGGGGACACCCGTGCTGGGGTCCTGACCCACAAAGGCTCAGGCCAATGGGGACACACGTGCTATCCCTGTAGCGGCTCAGGAGACAAAGTGGGGTGCAGAGAGTCCCCTGTGGTCTGGGGTGCAGGGGCATGGCCAGAGTGGAAAGGGTTCGGGGAAGAAGGGGCACAGGTGTCCACGAAGCCAGAGGCCCAGGTGACACGGCCATGTGGCGCTTCCCCGTCCCTGCCACTGAGGGTTGGGATGGCCAGAGGCCGTGGGAGCCTGGGAGTCCTGGGCATGGGGCAGTGCCAGTGACCGCCACCCTAGGAGGCCACTCGGTCCCATCACAGCCCAGGCCCCTGGTCCTCCTCGGCCCCCCGGGTACCGAATCCTCCCTGGCAGGGACCACGCCCTGGCAGGGGAGGCTGAACTAGCTGCTGCTTTTGCTTTTGGATCACTCCCGGTGATGCTCAGGACTTACTCCTGGCTCCGTGCTCAGGGACCCCTCCTGGCAGGCTGGGGGAGGGAAGGATTGAGTTCTGGGAACCAAACCTGGACCGGCCACGTGTGGGGCAAGTGCCCTCCCCTCTGTGCTGTCACCCGGGCCCCCTCCGAAGCAGCTGCTCCTCTCCTTTGGTTGTGATGCTTCTGGTTTGGGTTACAGCTGTGGCAGGTTCACTGAAACACGTGAAAATGTGTTTATTTTTTATTAGTGAAACACCATGAGGTACAGTTGTAGACTTACAAAATTTTGTGCTTGGGTTTCAGTTATACAATGATCAAGTACCCATCCCTCCACCAGTGCCCATTTTCCACCACCACGGGTCCCGGTATCCCTCCCAACCCCCATCCCCCCATCCCACCCTGCCTCTGTGGCAGGCCACTCCCTTTTGTTCTCTCTCTCTCCTTTTGGATGTTGTGGTTTGCAAAAGAGGCGAAAATGTATTTTTTTTTTGCTTTTTGGGTCACACCCGGCAACGCACAGGGGTCACTCCTGGTTCTGCACTCAGGAATTACTCCTCAGGGGACCATATGGGATGCTGGGAATCGAACCCGGGTCGGCCGGGTGGAAGGTAAATACCCTACCCGCTGTGCTATCGCTCCAGCCCCCGAAAATGTATTTCTAACCCCCAAGCATACTCCAACTTCCGGCCAGGGGCAGAGCATCAGGGAGTGTTCGACAGGTGGCTCTCGGGTTCCCCCAGAAGCCTTGGCCCTGGGCCCCTCAGCCTCAGTTTCCCCAGCTGACCCACTGGCTTTGGATCCTTCCTTCATTCTGTGTGACCACCAGCTGCCTGCTGAGACTGTGGGGACATCTCAGCTGGGGTCCAGCCTTGGTCACAGACAAATGGG